ATATTTTATGATATATTGTGATGGAGATAAGGTTGGAAAATGATGCATACATGTTGTTATTTGTTTTGTTCTTGGTGATTGTTGGTATATGGTATTGGAGGAGGGCCTTGTTACAGGGGAGATGCTGCCCAAATTTACATAAACGAGCTACTAGTTTAAGTTGCGAACTTAGCCTTTACTCAGCACTAATTTTGAATCTCCTTATGTTGTGGTAGATTGAGTTGAGTTGTTTGAAGAATTGCTTGGAAGGCATTAAGGACTCAACAGAGTTAAGGTATGTTAAGGCCAAACCTTTCTTTCATTTTGGCATGATCCATTAACTACATGTGTTTGATAACGAGACATAAAGAGAAGTTCATATTCTTGAATTTATGTACATTTTCCTAGTCTCATAAGTTACAGCATTATCCCTTATCGGGACTTCATATTCAGTTTAGTTTTGCCTTCTGTCAGCCAAGAGAGTAGAGAGTCTATATATATACAGTATTATAGTACTTTTACCACCATCGAGCTATAATCGATGGCAACCCCCTATTGGGCAACCTCTGATTAGATGGTAAGTCATATACCGAGCCTACTGTGGCCGAGCGCCTATGAGCAAGCCCAAAATGGCCGAGATACAGAGCCTAGTATGGTCGAGCGCCTATGAGCGAGCCTACTACTGCAGAACAGTTATACATACCGAGCCTTATAAGGTCAGACAACTATTTTACTTACTATATTGAGAGAGTTGAGTCAGTATCAGCAGGTAAGCATAACTTCAGATTATCTTTGACTCCCATTTACTTTCAGTTATTATATTATTAGTTCAGTTTCAGCTTTCCATTATTCTGTTGCCTTACATACTCGGTACAATATTTCGTACTGATGTCCCTTTTGCCGGGGACGCTGCATTTCATGACTGCAGGTCCTGATTGATAGTTGGACAGACGCTCCCAGCAAACAGAGTCAAACATTAGCTTGTTTGGTAAGCTCCACTTCCTCGGAGTTACCAGGTCTAGACCTTGGAGTCCATTTTATATATACAGGTTTGATAGGTAGGTCGAGGCCATGTCCCGACCATGGTACAGTTCAGTAATCTCTAGAGGCTTGTAGATGAGTCCTGTATATTTGGTATATCAGTAGATGTTCATGGCAGCTTTGTCGGCCTGCACAATTATATATATCAACTTTTGGGTATGTTTACCCCATAGATAAAAGAGGCGTTATTTTCAGACGATTCAGAATATGGCCTCATCGGCCTAAGTTGAGGGTTACCCCTCTAGAGTTCATAGTTATAGAGTGGTACACTCGGGCCGAGTATGGTACCGGGTGCCGGCCACGCCTCTTCAGGTTTGGGGCGTGACATTAATACTAGGTTTGAGGTTTGGAGACAAGTGCTGGAGTCTAAAGGTTTCAGTTGAGTAGGCCGAAAATAGAGTACTTGGAGTACAAGTTCAGTGATGGGATGCCTGAAGCAAAAATGGAAGTAAAGATTGATATACAAGTCATCCCCAGAAAGGATAGTTGCAAATATCTTTGGTCAGTAATCCAAGGCAATGAATTAGATTAATGATGATGTTACTCATCGAATTAGTGCGGCGTGGATGAAATGGAGACTCGATTCTGGGATTTTATGTGATAGGAATGTGCCAACAAGACTTAAGGAAAAGTTTTACAAAATCTTGCGTAGACCGACTATGTTCTATGGAGCAAAGTGTTGGCCCGTCAAGAAGTCCCATGTCTAGAAGTGTTAATTTTTTTAGTGTTACATTGTGAACTTTTCTCGCGTTTGGTTGTTATTACGATTTCATATGATATTATTTATATTGGAATCAGATTGCATGCCGCAACAATGTTTATTGATGTTGGGATCGGGTTTTACATTGCAACAATGTTAATTGAGATTGGGTTCGGGTTGCATGCCACAACAGTATTTGTTGGTGATGTTTGGTTATGATCTTTGTGTGTATTTCATGATTATTGTTCCCTTCGTAAAAATGGTTATGAGGTTATGTGTTGTTTTCCATGTTTGTTAACTTGCCCCGTAGCACTTCAGTTGAATTCTCCTACCATTATTCGACATTTCTCTTGCTTTATTTTTCCTGTTTATTATCTGCACAGGTACATATTAAGTGAGTATCTTTAACTTAAAACATTGTCACTAACTAATTGGGGTTAGTCAAGATACTTACTAAGTATATGGGAACGATTATACTCATACTATACCTCTGCATCTTGCCTGTAGATCTTGGAGCTGTATAGTTGTGGAAGACGAAGTCCGACATTGAAGACATACACGCGTTCCAGATTCAAGCTGCCTCTTGTCCATGGTAGTTTAAGACTTAAATTTTGTTTATGTACATTTCAAATAGATATTGTATTTATTCTTCATATCAACTTTGTAAATCTAAATTATAGTGGTTCTTGGCTTGTGCTACCAATCCTCGGGGTAGTTGTATTGTATTTGATTGTAGTTTCTATATATATATATATATATATATATATATTGATTGGCTTACCTAGCGAGTTGGGTTAGGTGTCATCACCAGTGTTTTAAAAGTCTTTTTTAGGACTCGCCTCGGGGCTCGCCCCAGAGCGGGACACTATCAAAACGCCTTGAGACTCATGTGTGGGGCTTAGTTCTGTGAGGCCTACGCCCTCAAGTGCCCGGCGGTGCGCCCTAAATACACCTAACGCTTAACGCTCGGGACTCGCCCAATAGTTCCTATGCAAATCATGTGTTGAATTCACTAATTTGCAATATTGACTCTCAAAATTTTTTAACAAATGAATGATTAAAGTTCTTTTTATCTATAGAAAATATGAAAATTGTGAATAAGTCAAATAACGAAACATATAATTGCATATTTACTAATTGAGAACATCGTGAGGGTGAATATCACTTGAATATTTCTTCTAAAATAGATAACCAAAATTTATATCTTTACTTGATAGATCTTCATGTCTTAGTTGTATGTCTCTCAAAATTATCATACATTTCTTATTTTACTATTGAAAAATAATTTTATATTTACTCATGAATGAGTAATATTTTGAATTACAATATCGATAAAATTTATTGTGTATTTACTTTTAAAGAGCTAAAATATGTAGTTTGATAATATTTCTTAAGAAATTATAATTATTTGAAAGTTAAGAGGTTGGAGATAATTTATATTTCATAATAACTTAACAGTATTGTATTATTTATACTTGTAAAACATGCAAAATATTTTATTTTATATGAGTTTCTTTAATTCTTTTTAGTTTTCTTGAACTTTTAATGCTTCTTTTATATTTTATTGTGTTATAATGCTATATTATTAATTCATAAATTGAAAAAATTAAAAATTCGTGGGGCTTACGCCCTATGTCTCGAGGCTTTCGCCTCGCCCCGTATTAAGTAAAACACCCCGCCTCATGCCCTCGCCTTTTAAAACACTGGCCATCACGACTTAGTGGGATTTCAGGTCGTGACGTGTATTGGAGTACAAAAAATCATGTCAAAATATCTGTGGCAATGTCATTTCGTTCTGACAAATAATCATAGCTATTAGGCCAACTATTGCCACGATATTTTATAACTTGAAGTAAAAAAAACAATTTTAGCTACAATATTTTATTGAGATAATCTATTATGGCTAAAAGAGTATTATTGCTTTAACAACTTTTAACACATGACAAAAACTTATGATTAGCTACGAAATTTTATTATAGTTATAAACTATTTAGGTAATCATTGCCATGATAGTTAGCATTTATAGCAAAAAATAGGTATTAACTTGCCAATTTCAATTTTGTGGCTGAGAAATTTTCTAAATAGCCAGAAATTTTAATTTTTTAGCTATTGTTAGATACTAGTCACAAAATTTAGATATATAGCTGAGAGAGCTATAAATGCATTATGTTATAGTGCGTGTCTGCGAGGAAAGAATCAAGTATTGGAGTTCTTGTGTGTGGACCAAAGAAGATGATGCATGAAGCTGCAAACATATGTTTATCTGGAGAAGTTTTATTTTGTGTCTCATAAAACTGACACTAGTTGTATGAGGCTCCTTTTTGTTTCACAAATTTGTGGACCCCAATCTTACACTTCTTGTTAGGACTTGGTTTTTCTATTCACTTTTTGTTGTTCAAGTCGATCACTGGTTCATTTTGTTACTAAAAAGGGAGGAGGAAACTCAGTACCAAATGCTTGGTAATCCTTGAATAAATTGACGGTCTTTCCGGAAATGTTAAACAAAAGTTTTCCCCTCGCATCTCGATCACTTTTACTTTTTCGTTACTTTGTAATCCCCAGGGCCGTTTATCTGGTTTTCAGCCATCCTACATTTTGCGTCTATTAGCTGCAGTTGGTGATTTCAACATTTTCAAGATCCTACATACACAGAAGACAATTCTGATTTGTTTTTATCTTTTGTGCTTGACCTCCACATCCCATCCCCTCCCCCCCCCCTCCCCCATACAAAGAAGAAAAAGGTAGAAAACAAAAAAGTGATTTTCTTTATTATGCTTTCGCTGATTAAGTTTTCAGAATGTCACTGTAAAGGGGAAGAAAAACATGTTGCCTTCTTTTTTCAAATATAAATAATAATACAGTTCCTTCTAGTCCCTACTCTATACTCCATATGTTTGCGTTAAAACTTCAAAGAATTTTTGTTTTAAAATGAGAAATAAATTTTAGCCAAGTACATTACTGGTAATTTTAAACTTCAGTCAGAAGTAGATAAATAAATTTGAACATTTATCCGAAGTATTTTAACATGTGGAATCCATAATATCAAGTTCTTAACGGAGTTTAGAGCTCCTCAGTCCATGTTGAAACTCCGCTAGAGTCGAGAACAAATAAGAAACTATCGGCTAATGACAGGCAAAAAATTTGAACATCTTTACTCAGTAAGAGAGTACCTTTTTTGTATATAACGAACAAATTAAACATAGGAAATGACCTAACTCTACCAAAAAGAAACTTAAGGTAAATAGCCACAATAGCAAAAACAGCCACAATTCCAAACATAAACAAAAAGCAAACATGACTAATACAAACTTTGACAAATTTTATTTCCTTACTCCAGAAACAACAATTGAGAGTCCACAAACCGTAATTTTTCTATGGTCGACTTATACTACAAAGATCAATGAATTTGCTGACTGATGTTGAAATATATGATCATTTTGTCTAAAAAGCTTAAACCATCACATAGAATATATACTTATTTTGACTTGTTCTACAAGTGGGAAACAGTCTTCTAAAGGGGTCGTCACTCCGTTCGTACCTTCTTGGCTTCTCTTGTAGAAATACAAAGTAAGGCTGCTTACATCAGATCCAATGTGATCTGACTCTTCCCTGAACCTCGCACACGGTAAGAGCTTAGTGCACCGGACTACCTTCACCGCGGATAACCAGGTGGAGGGTATCCGACACCACTTGGAGCATAATTGGCTGGTGGATATCCATGGGGTTGTGATGGTGGTGGTGGGTATCCATAGGGTTGCTGGGGCGGTGGTGGGTACATAGGGGATTGCTGGGGTGGTGGGGGGTACATAGGGGGTAGCTGTTTTGGGGGATAAGCTTGTGGCTGCGGCGGAGCATATCCAATGGTTGGAGGAAGAGGCTGATCCAAACGAGACATTTGTTGAACAGCCGGTGCTGCCATTGGCCTTGGCCCAAATTTACCATCTCTTTTATTCATTTCTACCTTGTGCTGTGTCTGCAAATTTATTTTGAAGCAACAAAAGTATTTTTAATCAAAAGAACATATAACAATTAATTAGTTTTACACAACTATCACTTAGCTATGTTGCTCAGGTGCGTGTTGGATCTTCATAAAGTAGTGTAATTTTCGAAGATCCGATAATGCAATTTTGGTGGATCAGACACATATGTGACAAAATTTTTAAAGAGTCCGAGCAACATAGGTTATTAGTTCAGCTTTCATTACGTAAACATTATATCGGAGGATGCACTGTTACTATCATATTTTAAGAGAAAAAATGAAGGTAAAGAGTAATATATCAATTTATACATAAAAAATAGCACAAGTTCGAGGCAAGAAATCACCAAGAAATTTTATGACATAAGAAAAACAGAGGAGAATATCCGAAAATTGGATAATTTAAGCAAAAAATTGGATTTAAATGACTTTTAGTTTTTGTATCTGAAAAACTTGGTTTGAGTTATCTTCTAGTTAGATAATCTTTTCAGGACTTCCTTTTGGCATAGATCTAGGAAAATCTATGTGTGCTATGTATTTTAGATGCAGAATATATTCAAGTTATCACCTACCTGCATACAGCTACAAACCCTGCCAAAAGAAAAAGAAAAGTTAATAGAGATGGATATTACGATAACAATTTACACTGTCAGTAGATATAAGTGAAATCCGTGTTTGTAATACTCAGTCAAGTGTCTTACGTGCAGTAAACCATGTCCGAGCAACAGTTGAGAACCCGAGAAGCGTCTTGAAGTTCATCGTTTCCTGTAATACAAGCAATGCAGCTAAATATACATGCTACCTGCTGGAGGCAAAACATGAACCCCTACAACCAAAGCCAATGCAGATTAGCTGAGATAGTAAAAACAAGAAGATAACTAGATAAATCACTTGCAAAGCTGAAGAGAAGTTGAATTTACAATTATGCAATTATCGCATTTTGTCGTCTGCAGATTGAACTCATCTTGCAACATAAAGCGCGTTGAGGCAACTGAATTTGCGAAGCAAAGAAACACCTGAACAGTAGAGAATAATTAAGTAATTAGCTGATAAAGCTCGTTTCACTTAGCTGATAAGCATCAAGTGCTGAAACTTATTTTATAAATAAGCTGTTATATGACATAAATTTTGAGATTGAACCAACCAACCTCTGTGCAAAGACATAACTCAGGGCAATGACTTTCTCCACATCTGCCACTACAAGGCATATAGCCTCCGCAACATGTATACCTATAAGCACGTAATATTTAAATTTTATGGATTCATAAAGAAATGTAGCGAATTATATTGAACACCCAAACAGAGAAAAGACAATGTTTACCTTGACATATCATTGTATAGAGCTCGTTTTCGGAGGATGTATGATGCACAAGGACCGCTAAAACATTCAAAGGTAAACTGATAAACAATTTTGAACATAAGCAGAAGCATCAAAATACAAGTATTTGGTATCAACCACTATTAAATAGATGACGAAAAACAGTATTTGTATAAAAAATCTGCCTTTGATTAGTGATACAGAGGGGATTTAAGCATAATTTCAATAGAAAAGCCAATCGATCAAATGCTTTCTTGAGACTTTTCATTGGTTCAAGATCTTCCCTAGATATTGCACCAAGAAGAATACACTTCAAGGTCTGCGACGAGACGCGAAAAAATAGAAGTCTGATGCAAAGGAAGCTAATGAACAATGAATTCTGTTATAATCTGACAGTCCAAATATTGTAATTAAACATTTCAATTTGGAAAATTCAGCAGGAAAAAAAAAAGATGCATTCTCTACACTCGGGACAGTTCTGATACATATTCACCAGAGTTGCACTGAGTACTTTATTAATGTACATATATAGAAGAGCATTGTCAATGAATCCCTATTCTTTCTGATTCATCTTATGCTGTACCTTCGAGAAGTGTGGATTAAAGCATTCATAAGCATAAAGTAAAAAGAGGAAGAGTATGTAAAGTCAACTTACCACCAAAGCGAGAAACAGCAAACTGCAAAGGTAATCCAGAAAAAAAAGGAGATCACCGTTTGATCAGAGAATATATCCAAATTTAGAGTTTGCATTTCATCCACTATAACAAAGTCACAAAATTATTAATCCAAATCTACCCACAATCGGTGGGGAAGCCCGAATTTACTAAGGGGTACCATAAAAAAGTAAACACACTGAAGAAAATGAGGGAAGTCAACACATATATACATATATACATAAGAATAAATTTTTGAGCGTGTCATTTGACCCCTTTAGCATAAGGTGGCTCGGCCACTTCCCACAAAACTTTAACACTAAAGTTACAAAACTATTTTTTGTCATACTAAAGTAACTCAATTTTACTCACAACAATAATAAAATAACAAAATTTACCCAATATGGTGATAAAACTTGCCATCAAGGTGATTTTACGGTTAAGGACTAAAGTTTTGTGACTTTACTACTATATAGGGTAGTATTCACTTATTTTAATGTGACAAAAAAAAAAAATAATTTGAAACTTGTAGACTTTACTGTTAAAATTCAGTAACAATACATGACATTGTCTTCGGAAACTACTAAGCAATATCGAAAAAATTAATGAAATTTTCGGGTGAAGTGATACGTACAGAGAGGATCAGACTGAGGAGCACGGAGAAGATCAGTGTGCCAGTGATTTCGATAATTTTGACGGAATTTCATTTTCTCCATTTGAGCCTCCGACGAAGCCATTGGAACAACAATTGGGTAGTACAAATTTCACAATTGGGATAGAGCTTAAAAAACATTCCTTTTTTTCCCCTGTCACATTGAAAAAGAAAAAAGTAAATAAGCAAACAAGCTTTCGCGTGTTTGATTAAGAAAATAGAGTTGAATATCCGTAGTCCAAATTCAAGAACGTTCTCCGTGTCTGCGCGGGTGGCTGTGAGAGACTTTTCAAGCTTTGAAGATGAATAAAGGGAGGGAAGAATGTCTCTACGTGTGGGGTTAGGCTAGCTGACCAAGTCTAGGACTAGCTCTAGAAAGGCAATAACATGATTAGAGTCAAAAATATTAAGTTTTTGGCATATAATAAAATGCTTTAGAACATTCGATCATAAATTCGTGTGATTGTAAGAGCATGTCATTAAAGCAAATTGTTTAATTATCAATTACTGCATTCGTAAGTAACCCAAAGCGATTTAATTATAATACAATTTGTGAAGACCATAAGTAAAAGTTCATATTCTTCGATCATTAAAAAGCAATTTGTTAGGCAATACAACACAATTAGTGCAAAATATACAAATTTCAAAATCAACACCCTAGTAAGCAATCATTTTTTTTTTTCGTATACCAATTTCCAACTTCCAATTAAACGATATTTGTTCCTAGCAGTCGTTTCTTTCAAATATTTTTCACATTGAATATATTATGACAAACTACAACGTCACAAAGAGTTACAATTTTTTAATTTTAATTTTTTTAATTTTTTAATTTTTATTTTTATTTATTTATTTATTTTTTTTTGTAATTTGCTGATCACTTTTATTTAGGTTTTGTTATAAGTTTTCACCATGTGGATGTTTTGAATTATTCAAATCCCAACTTATTAAATAATTTTTTCTTTCTTTTTGTAACAACTTATTTGATCTGAATAACTTCGATTCATTGGCGAAAGTGAAGGTGGAAGTGGTTGCTAGAAGTGGCTGGTGGGAGAAGTAATCGGAGGTGATGGTTGTACATTTTTGGCTAGCAATCAAGGTGTGGTTGTGGATGATAGTCGCTAATAATAATTGTGTTGGTGGATGAATAACAATAAAAGGTTAATAAAAATAATCTCTAAGTCAACGTCTAAATGGTCATAAAATTTATGCAGCATTCAGGTGAACCATATATATATATATATATATATATACGGTTCACTCGATTCGATTGTTTTCCAAGAATATTGAGCCGGGTATGTAAGCCATGTATCTGGGAGGAACTTAAATAAAAGAAGGGCTTTCGGTTTTTTGCACCCCGTTTTGGTCTTGCAGCTATTTTTAAAATATATATATAAGAATCCCTTTTTTAGAAGAAAGATTATATATATGTCCAATCTCTAGTGGTGGTGGAACCAACCAAGATGTATGTCGTCCGACCCGACCTCAGACTCTTTCTTCCCGACCTATTTGACTCTCTGGCCGTAGTTATTTAGGTGGTATTCCGAGATCGAATTCCTCCCAGGAACACACGAAACAAAGATATGAACTGGGTAAATAGAAATGGAAAAGAGATGTTTCTATTTCATCCAAATTAGAAGCTTTTTCTACATCCATATGATCTACTAAAGTAGATCGGTATTGACCATATAATAAAAGCAGATCTTGGTCCATGGAGTCCCAAGAAGGTAAGAACTCCAACCTGTCCGATGCTTCTTCGGCCAAATACGATATACAAGTGGGACCTGCACTATGAGCAAGCTGTGCGAAAAACCGCTTCTTTTCCGGTTCCGAAACAACTTGGGCGAAATAGGGTTCTACCGGGAAACCATGGATTTTTGAGTTTTCGCCATTGGTTACTGGTTGAGCCACTGGAATGGAATGAGATAAGAATCCCTGGAGATCTTTCCTCTCCACTTACTCGTAACAGGCTTTTCTTCTGTAGAAGACTTCTTCCGAATGGCATAATTGTCCGACACTACGTTCCTCGATCTTCAAAGAAAACTGACTCCTCCTACTCCTCCTTCTCCTTTAGGATAGGATCCTCCTTGGTCCTTCTTTCACTAATGGTCTCACCATTTTATAGTAGTAGTAGTTCGCGCGAGGGACTCTCCTTTCTATCGCTTGCCCTTGCCTTTCACTCTCATTTGGTCTCTTTCTTCTATAAAATAAAGCGAAGCAAAGCGCATGGCAAAGAAGCAGCCAGCTGACTGCCCCCTTCCACTCGGCCTTTCTTCGCTGTGTGAATAAGGTCTTAGTCTGTATGGGCATTCTGGGCAGGTCGCAATAAGTCGCTAGTCGAAGGTTTAGACCAATCGCAATTCATCACCATCTTGCCCGCTTCCAATTGATGACTGGCTATTATATAAGTGTTGACCTAAGCCCCTGCGCAGGGGCTCGGCTCCCGAACCGTACGTGAGCTGTCTCGTACGGCTCTTCCTAAGAACTTGAAGCCCCCTCTCTCTAAATAGAAAAAAATGCATTTACAAGACAAAAAAGACTTTTTCAAAAAGCCTTCGCCCTCCTATTCAACGGGGCTATTAGAGAAGCAGCTTCGTTCCTTGACTTCTTTTCTCAGTCAAGCTTCCTTGTTCCTTAGTGTAGTCTCGGTCCATAGTTGTTGACTCCGTTCCTTATAGCCTAGTCTATATCCACAGCTGACGTGACTCCGTACCGACGCCTTTCCCTTTGTATAGTATACGGCTAAGTGACTTCGTAACCTCAACGTACTTTTTTTCTTACTGTAGCATAGGCCTTCGTCGGGCTTTCGTCCCTTCGCCTATAGACGGCGGCTTGGCTTCGCTATCGCTCATGACTCGGTATAGAGCCGTGTAATCGTCGGTTTTACCACCAGAATGCCTATGAGATAGTGGTCGGCCTTTCGAATGCCTTCTTCCTGACTTTTCTGAGAAGCCCTTTACGACTATACTATAAAGGACAGGGGGGTGTTCACCTTTGGAAACTTAGCTACTTAAGTCCTTCTCAGAAAGTCAAAGTAAAGGCGAACGGCATTCTGTTCTACAGCTACAACACTGAATATTTCTTATTAATATTAAACATCTTAATAGTAGAACTACTTTCGTAGTACTAAACAAGGAAACCTTCGGTTCCCTTTGTTTGAATAAACGCCGCTTATTTTAGTTTACATTCAAACCAAAGTAAACCAAGCCTAAGCGGTCACGACATCTTGTTGATATTGATTGAGGAGTTTGATGGAGTTTAGCTGACTGAATCCATAAACCTAGAAAGTCGCCGTCACGGGTACTTTTTTATTTAAATTTGACTCTATAGGTAGGTATCGGCGGGGCTTGCGTAATGTAGTTGTAGTTAAGGCTGAAGTAGCGCTTTTTATTTTAGAAGATCTACTGAAGTACCAAAGGCGAACGGGGCTCCCAGGCCGGGACGTCTGGCAGAATGCTTGGCCTCCTGCGCTGGAAGCGAGACCCGAAGGGTGAGCTTATGGCGGTTAGCTTCTAGCACTAAATAATAGGCATTAGGCATTCTGAGCTGAAAGGAGGCAAGCAAATGAAGGGAGGCATTACGGGCCGACTACAAGAAAAGCAAAGCTTCGTAGACTCGGTCAAGTCGCTTATAGAATGCCGACGACTATTTTCCACTTAATTAATAAGTGAAGGGGAGAGGGAAGCGAGGCTTAGCGAGCTTTATAAGGCCGACCACTACATAAGCCGCTGGCGGAGAAAGCTCGAAGAGCTTCCCTTCATTCATTACTAAGCCAAGGTCCCAGGTCTCCGAGTCAGCCCGCGCTTTTTCGAAGAATCCTGCACCCATGGGCATACGGCCTGGCAGGCCTTCCCTTTCCGCCGGAGCTTCATGGGCGTTGCCCCGTTCCCCAATCAGATGTTTGGATGTGAGCTATACTCCGCGAGGAGCCAAACGGGCGTATGGCCTTGCCATTTGACCTCTTTTCCCGTGTGACTAGGAATGCTCAGTGACAACCTCTCAATTGTCACCGCCTGGCCTCTCTTGCTACCACGGTAGCACCTAGTGTGGTCAGCACCAATCGTGTTCGGGCAACGAAGCTTACACTCATTCACATTGGTTCATCCTGCTATGCCCTGGGCCTTTTGCTCTTCTAACGTAAAAGGTGGCCGGCCATTCGTCAAGGCCCAGGAATCCGCTGGACATCTCAGAGGCGGGATTTGATACCCGCATCCGATTGAAGTTGCATTTTAGTGCTCCCCTAACATAAAGGGGAGCTTTTTCTAAGTGGGTCGCTTCGCGCAAGACATTGCTTAGGACCAACGGGTCACACGACAGGTGCACGATCTACTTTGCACCTTCCATCCTTCAGCCCTTCGCCTATCGGCTTGGCAGGCAAGCTACCTTGATCCGTCTTCGGCTTCGATTCGTTACGCTCAGAAGCTCCAACAAGCCCTAAAGTCTCTTGCCGCCTAAAACTCTGCCAAGAGAGCGCTGCTTTACGTTTGATCCTATGTACCCATAGAATGCTATGCGTTCTCCACTTTCGGATCTCGCAAAGAGAGAACGTGTTTTTTCCTCTGACTTTCTCTCTCATTCGCGGAGCGAAGAAAGCGGGCTTTGCCCCAGCTACCGCTATCCTTGGGAAACCAAAAGAGCTACCGAAGGAAAGGGATGCAGTCTCTCCCTTGGCCTTTGGAGAGGAGAGGGCAGAGAAGAAAACGTCCTTCGCGCAAGTTTTTTTGCTTCCTGCGTCCTTACTAGTAAAAAAGGGGCTCTTCGACCAAGAAGGCATTCTGGTAGGAAGGCCGACCACTACATAAGTCGCCATCCGTCCAGGAGAGAAGCAAGCTACCTTTCTTTGATCCCCCTTCCCGGGCAGGGAAGAGAACGAAAATGGACCGCAGATGGTAGTCGTGGTTGATTCGAGGATCTTACGCGGCGGAGCGAACTCTTCTATCGTGTTGCATTTTCTCTGGCGGACCCCCCCCCCGGTCCATCGTACTGGAGCGATTCGAGAAGAACGATTAGGCTCATATTCTATCCTTTCTACAATGCCTATAGACGAAGTGCTTCGTTTCAGATCAATTCTTCGCTGCAATCGCTTCGATCCACCCCCTCGGTGAAAAACCGTAATACGCCCTGAGGAATTCCTACCAGCAGACTTCCCTGTACTCAAAGTGAATTGTCTAAGTGCTCTCCTTTGTCTCATTGTTTATCTCGTAATCATTCGATTCCGCCCCTAAAGCTAGCTCCTACTCCTCCTCCTTCTCCTTTAGGATAGGATCCTCCTTGGTCCTTTTTA